TATATATATATAATATATATAATATATACTATATATATTTATATATATATATATATATATATATAATATATATATATATTATATAATATATATATATATATATATATATACAAATAAAACACAGTTTAATAGGGTTGCAGTCTAGAATATTGGCCGGGATGTTAAAAAAACACTCTTTTGACTTTTTTGTCGAGCTTTCGGAATCGTTTTAATCCTTTTCAAGACACTGCAATAAGACAAAAAATGTAAATATTTAAAAATATCACAAATTCTTCAGTGTAACTTACTAGTCGTGAGATTATTTGTATACGCATTTTACACTCAACATTTATAAACACACATTAAAACATTAAAATATACAATTATGGACACAATACATTATAAAATTCTTAAAATTTATTGTAAAAATAGTAGGTAAAACTTAGTTGATAGCATGTATTTACTTTTGTATATTAACTCATGCAGAGAATGGAAAGTAAACACTGTAATTAATATGTAATTAGGTGTAATTGATGTTATCTTTCTTTTTAAGTGAACTATGCTTTTAAACCTGTCTTAATGGTATGCAACATATTATACATAGAGGTGTAATTTATGTACAGGTAAATTTTTATTTTATTTTTGGTGTTTTTCTAGTAAATAACAATAAATGTTACTTAATTTGTCTATGTCTGACCCTTTTGTTAATGCAAGATGCGCTAGATTTTTATGCAACACATTTCCAAAAATACACGTTTTGAAAAGGTTCTTTTCTTTTGCCAAAATACAGGAATCATCGAAATTAAATTCATGTTTCAAAGTTAGTGATGTTCTGTCAATGCACATGCATTGATTTTTTTGGTTTTTATATCACTACGATGTGATATCACCCTGCTGTGAAAATTACGAGATGATTCTCCTATGTAAATTTTATTACAATTAGTACACGGTATAGAATAAACAACATTCGATGACTCCTGTATTGTGAAAGGATCTTTTGTTTTTGTGTAAAGCTTCGATACTGTTTTCACATTTTTTGGTTGTAATTTTTAAGCCACTAATATTTTTATAAGATGTTCATTAGCTTAGGTGTCAAAAATGGAATGTAAGGTAGGCAACCATAAGTTATTTTCGATTGGTAATATTGATGCGTTATGTGTCAATGTCATTTGTCGGATCTTCATTGTTATGAATATTTTGGTTGACAGAAACTTGTGAAGGAAATGGAGAACCGAAAATGGTTTATTTAACAGTCCTATGGGATAAGAATTCGCTCTTTGTAGTATAGATCTCAACTTTTTTTTTTGTCTGAGGGCCTATTGTATATCGATGAGGCCTATTGTATCTTCCATTGATGCTACCCAATAGTAAACTTGCTAAACACCTTACAGATTTTCTCACAATTTCCTACAACGATCCAATGAATTCTATATTAGAGATTCTTTTTCATTTAGTAACTTCATTAACAATGTTAAAGTTCCAAATAATTACATATTGATTAGTTAGATGTTGTGTCACTGTTTACAAACTTACCACTAGATGCTATTCTTAACAGTATTAAAAATAACTGAACAACATCTCTCCACATACTAAGATCAGTTTAGATGATTTCATAAGAATGTTAACATTTATATTTGATTCTAACATCTTTTTATTCAATGGTAATTTTTTTAAACAAATTTTTGGCACTCCAATGGGCAGCAAAATATCCCCCATACTATGTATTTTGTTTTGGATGAACTTATAACAACGTGTAAAGAAAACATACCTTTTCACATACCATTTTATTAAACGTTATGTAGATGATTTGATTTTATCGGTCCTGAAAACAAGGTAACTGATGTTTTAAACACTTTTAACGCCCAATGTGAACACCTAAAGTTTACGGTTGAGAGAGAGGCTGATAATTGATTCCTTTTTTAGACATGCTAATCCATCGTGGCAATGATGGCATACTAAAGGACGGAGTGGTATCGTAAACCTTGTTTTAGTAACCGTTTCATAAACTTTTATTCTCAACATCCGCCTAAGATGAAAAACAAATTTGGTTTTGGCTTTAAAACGAGGGTTATCAACTTGTCACACATAGAATTCAGGGACAAGGGACTAAAAAAGTTGAGATCTCATACTACAAGAGAATTCTTATCCCATAGGACTGTTAAATAAACTCATTTTCGGTTCTCCTTTTCCTTCACAAGTTTCTGTCAACACAAAATTTTCATAACAATGAGATCCGACAAATGACATTGACACATAACGCATCAATATTACCATCGAAAATAACTTATGGTTGCCTACCCTACATTCCATTTTTGACACCTAAGCTAATGAACATCTTTAAAAATATTAGTGGCTTAAAAATTACAACCAAAAATGTGAAAAACAGTATCGAAGCTTTACACAAAAACAAAAGATCCTTTCACAATACAGGAGTCATCGAATGTTGTTTATTCTATACCGTGTACTAATTGTAATAAAATTTACATAGGAGAATCATCTCGTAATTTTCACAGCAGGGTGA